TGGAGGGCTGCACGTTCTGCGGGGGAGAGGTTGGAGTGGGTGAGGGGTGGAGAGGTTGAGGCAATTGATGTCTCGATGGCAGTTGGAGATGAAGAGGTCAAGGGAGGGTAGGAGGCCTTGGGGTGGTGTCCAGGAGGAGGGGGTGTGTTGGAAGCGGGAGAAGGGGTCAGTAGAGGGAGGGTTAGGCTCGCGGTTGAAGAAGTAAGCGTGGAGGCGGAGGCGGCGGAAAAAATGCTCTATGTCCAAGCATGAGCAGTATTCGTTGATCTGTGGGTGGAGGGGGACAAAGGTGAGCCCTTTACTGAGGACTGACCGTTCATCATCAGTAAGGGGTAGGTCTGGGGGGATGGTGAAGACTCGGCAGGGCTGGGTGCTATTGTCGCCTCGGGAGCTGCTGGCTGTGGAGGTGTGGGCAGAGCGACGTCGGCATCGGCTGTGGGCGGAGTTGCGTCGGCGTCAGTGGTGGGCAGAGTTGGGCCGGCGGTGGGCGGAGTTGCGTCTGCGTCGGTGATGGGCGGAGCGGCGTTGGCAGTGGGGGGTGGTGGGGTAGGCGGCGGCAGTAGCGGTGACGGTAGGCGCAACTTCAGTGTCGGTGGTGTTGGTCTCGGAAATGGAGGCGGTGGCAGTGGCAGCGATGGTGTTCGCTGTCCCGGAAGTGGGGAACCCGGCGGTGGCAGATGTGACGTCATCTGTGGGTTCTCTGATAGTGGCCTCATGGCCGATGGCGGCGAGCACATTATGGGGAAGGTCCTGGGTATGGCTGGTGATTTGGGGGGTGGAGGAAGCCTGTTTTGGGTGGTAGGCACCAGTAATTTTACTGTACACATGGTTTTTTAGTGTCCAATAAAGCTGAGTAGAATTGTGAGTTCAGGTTGTGGATCCTACGAAGAATGAAAAACAGGAGAGGTCCTTTGCAGGTCTGGGAGAGGGAGGCTCTGAGCTGGGGTAGGCTTGATTGTAGTGCCTGGAGATGCCGACGCATTGCTGCAAGTGTGTTTCAGGAGTCACAGGGAGAAACGCTTCTGAAGGATCTCAATGCCATGAGTGTAGATATTGTCACGGTTGGGGCCAAATTGGGAAGGCTTGAATGTGGATTGTAGTCCATTGGGGATGATCTGGTTCCGTAGGCAGGTGCTAAGAAAGGTGATGTGGCTGTAGTACCTGGTTTGCTTCAGGACATGGTTGAGCAGTTTCAGGGCCGAAGAGATTGCGAGAGAGTTGCAGTGGGAGAGAGATCCCCTGAGGTTTGTCCAGAGGGAGGAGGGTAACTTCTTCAGGCTAGGCATTCTTAGAAGAGGCTTCACAGTGGGGTTAAAATTGAATCAGAGATAGTAGGAACTGCAGATGCTGGAGAAATCAGAGATAGTAGGAACTGCAGATGCTGGAGAGTCAGACAGTGGAGTGGTGAGACAGTGCATTCCCAGTGGTAGCAGACGGGACTGCAGTCACTCTGATTTTCATTCATCTTTTGCGGCCGATATCTTTAGTCAACCTGTTCATGGATATTATTACACACCTCCGGAGCAGGTGAGATTTGAAGCCAGACCTCCAATGTCAAGGCAAAAACAGAAGTTGCTGGAAGCTCAGCAGGTCTGGCAGCATCTGTTAAGAAAAAAAGTCAGAGTTAACGTTTTGGAGCTGGTGACCCTTCCTCAGAATAGGGAGGGAGATATCAGAGGGAGGGGCATACTGCTTCACCAATTGCTATTGAAGATGCTGCTGAGGGAGCATTGGTGAGGTGCTACACAGCATCTTAGATGATACACCCCACAGCCACTGTGCGTGGTTGTAGAGGGACAAAATGTTGAAAGTAGTAGTTAGGGTGCCAATCAAGCAGGCTAGTTTTTCCCAGATGTTTTCAAACTTCTTGAATGACTTTGGAGCTGCACTCATCCAGGCAGGTGAAGAGTAGTCCATCACACATCTGATTTGTGCCTTGTAGACGGTGGACAGGCTTTGGGGAGACAAGAGATTAGTAAATTGGCACGGAATTCCAAGACTCTGACTCTGTCTTTGCAGCATTCATATCGCTAGTCCAGTTCAGTTGCTGGTTAATTAGTATACATTGGAAATTTCAGGTTACAAATTTGACTCAAATTCATGAATATATACTCAAATACTTCCAAATAAATGAGTGGGCAAAGTGTATAAGAAATGGAATATCTGGTCTCAGTCCAACATCTGTGTTTTCTTATTTTCTGACAGAACAGCAGGATCTACTAGCCTCAGTTTCAAATTTGCTGTGCACTTTAGTCATCCCTGAGTACTCCTGTTTATTAACAATTTCAAAACCATAACCCACTGCATTATCAGTGTTGCAATGAGGGAAGACTCAATGTTAATTTTCTCAAGAAGTGTGGGATCAATCTGCGATTAACCCTTGAGGGGAATGGGTATTGACTGCTGTCATCTTTCCTTATCTTTTAACTGTTTCACTTACTGAAATGTCAATCCTGTTAATTCTGGACAAAAAACCAAAAGAAATGTGGATGCTGTAAATGAGAAGCAAAAACAGAAATTGATGGAAATGCTCAGCAGGT